CTTTCTTTCTCTCTCCCTCTATCTCTCTCTCTCTCTCTCTCTCCCTCTCTCTCTCTCTCTCTCTCTCTCTCTCTCTCTCTCTCTCTTTCTCTCTCAGGAGCAGCTAAGGTAACTGCGCTACAAGTATAGGCGAAACTGAGCAATGATAATGGTCGGTGCCAAACTCCAGCCAATATGAATGCAGTGACATTATACCTGATTGCGAGCAAAAGACACGTAACTCATAATTGCAACATCAACTTTAGTTTTAATGCTGCAACTTCGAGTTTGACAACTCTGGCTTTGTAACCCTAGCTCTGCTTCTGACTCTGAGAATCGGTAACCGGGCAGGGGGGGGGGGAGGCGAGTCGGTTACTAGGCGGATATAAGTCAGTAGCCAGGCGGATATACGTCGGTAGCTGGGTGGCCGCGGCTGACTGGTCTGCCCCATATTGTCCTGCTGCACGCGTCATGCGCACCCAATAAGGGCGAGCCGATCTAATGACATACCTCGAACGCACCACCGCCGCCATCGTCGCCAGAACGGACGGGAAAGCAGCGGCACACACACAGACAGACACGCATACAGTCCAGCCCGGGACCAGCCCGGGGGTGAAAAGCGGCGGCGGCGGTCGGTCGGGGCGGCTAACTGTGTTTGGGCGTCGACCGACGCCGGGGTCGTGTGCCGTGTCACAGCACAAAGGAGGATGCATTTCATTAACCTCTCATCGCGGCCGGGTCGGTCGGGCCACGCTCCGGCGGCCGACCCGACCAGGAACTGGAGCGGGCCGGTGAAAAACACCGCCCCGGGGCACTGGCCGGGTCACCGGGAACAGGGGCACGGTGCGGCGCTCGAGACCGGGAACGGCGCCGGGCGGGAACCGATTGTAAGCGAAAGTAGATCACACGCATAGCGGGTGTTTCTAAAGTAAACTAATATTCATACAATTTCATTATATGCTTGGATGTCATTATCAGGTCACTTGCATTGTCAGGCATGCTCGTAGGCATGTCGGTTTTTAGGTAAAGTCTCGTTTTTTGAATCTTTAGAAATGATTTGGAGTTGGCGCTGAAGGATTACGTGCAATTTCCCTTTCTTTGTGTTTCATTTCAACCCTGTCCGCAACCATGTTGGTTACAGTGTATAAAACGGAAGGCATTTTTCAGTCTAACTGGAAAGTTCTCAAAACGGTTTGTGGCATAGGTAAACGCGTGAAAGTCCGACTCCGTGGACCGTGACAATGTTTTTTTTTTCATCGAACTCGATGAGATACCCATTAGTCCATTTAACCATTAAGAAAACTTACAAGAGTCGCCTTCGCCTTCTGCGTACCACTTGCCTCTACCACGAGCAGTGCAGGCAACCCTCGGTGAAGGGCGCGCACTGGCTCATGAGCCGGGCTAGGCACAATGAATGAGGACTCACGCCGGGGTTCCTCTGAGGACAATGGATGAGGACCGTCGGGAGGTGGTCACGGCGCTCCGACCGGCCGCCGCCGGGCCCCGCCGACCTTCCGACGAGCCGGCGAGCTTTTTACGCCGCCATGTTAATTTATTTTTTAACGACAGGCGATGTTAATTTGCCGGCTACCTGACGCTCGGACAAATTGTTTCATCACGCCGTAATTTATCAGAGCGCCACCAGTTGTGATGAGCCCGCCGCTGCCGCCGCCGTCGCCGCAGACAACGCCCCGAATTAGCCGGGTGCACGCTGTGGGGCCCGTCTGAGAGGTCGTTTACTGGCGAGATTACACCGCTCAATGGCTACCAGTCAGTGCAGGTTACTGGATATTTAGAAGCACTCCATGCATTTGGGGATGCTTATAGATAGCCAAAAACAGGGGCGCGGGAACTACTTTCCGACTGGGGGGGGGGGCACACCATAATAGAGATTAACCTAGGGTACCCCCAAATCTAGTTTTCTCACCGGTTTTAGGCCACTTAGTTTTCACCCCTCGGCTTTTTCAACAAAAAAGAAAACATTTGCAAAAAAGTGTGGTATTCCGTCTCAAAGCTGTGGGGGCACCGCCCCCACGGCCCCAGAGTTGGGGGGGCAAGCTGCCCCCACTGCCCCCCGGCTCCCGCGCCTATGGCCAAAAAACATAGCTTCTGTGGTTTCTGTGGACCGTCCATGAAAACAGCTAACAAGTGCTTTCTACTAAGCATAGCGCAGGTTAGTCTGAAGTTGAACCCACGACAAGCTCGTCCCACGAAGCGAATACGAGTGGCTCGATCCTCAGCCCGGTGCCGACCCGGCAGCCATCTTTTAGTGCGCCGTGTCGAGACGGCGGCCTCCTCTGAAGGACAGCTAACAGCGGCGGCGGCGGCGGCGGCGCGGCAGAGGCAAAACCGGCGCAGTCATCCCGCCGTCAGCTGGCGGAGTCGCGGCGCCTAATGACGCGCCAGGTATGATTCCGGCGCACCACCGCGGCGAACCTTGCGCCATAGGGACGAGTCTCTCTTGACCGAGCCGAGCCGCGACACTAATCAAGCTGGGCTCACCGGACCGTACGGCACAACAAAGACATCTCTCGGGTAACAAGGCTGCATCCGTCGCGTCACCACCACTGCCTCCGCCTCTGGCGTCACCAGCGAGCCGTACCCTTTACAGCGCACACGAGGCTAATTACGCCGGCCAAGCAGCTAATTGAGCCGGGCAGAATTGAGCCTGGATTGTTAGCTTACAGCCGCTGTAAATATCGCGGGCAGCGCACCTGGGCTGTTCCCAGTCTATTCCCTGGTGTAAACGGCACGCGAGTCGAAGGCGACGGACGGACCGGCGGCCATTGCGGCGCCGTGTGGCGACCCGCGGCGGCGTTTCCGGCGCCGGACACTAATTGCTGATACGTTTTAATTAACAAAAGGACGACAAAGTGGAGCGCGAGAAAGAACGTGCTGTAATTAAGCCCGTGGAAAGTTGGCGAAATGCCTCGATCGTTGACCCGTGATACGGTGCCAAAAAGCGATAGCTTCAAAAAGTCAAGGTTGACCAGTTAGATTTAAAATTAACTTCCTACGCTTTATGTGCCTGTCTGTGGAAAGATCGTTGCATCTTGCTGCAAATAGTTTAGGAGCGTTAGGAGTGCCTTCGCTGCAATCGTAACAATTAACATTCATGTGGCTGTGGGTGTGATACGACCTGAAATCGAAACTTGCCATCCATTACCCGAACCATGGCCCGAGCAAAAAGTTGAACCTAAGGACGTTAACTGTCACGTACATACAGACCTATACCCCCACGACCTGTTCCGTAAGGCAGTCCTCGCTCGAACGACTCTGGTCCAGATCGCAGGACTCCATCATTTCAGCTAAACCCGTGACTCCACTACCCACCGGTGACCTGACCTGACCTGACCTCTGGTGGGGTGTGTGGGGGGGGGGGGGGGCAGCACGTGACGTGCACTGCGCACTAATTGCCGTCATGTCATCGCGGCGGCGGTGGGAGCGGCACGGCGCCGCACCCTGCTGTCAGTGCGGAGCGGCCCACGACCGCGGCGCCATTCACTCGCACGCAGCGGTATATGCAGCATCATTTTCGGCCGCGCCGCAAATACAGTCTTAATTACGCCGGGTCGGGACGAGGCCGATCGATGGACGCGAGCCGCGGGCTCAAAGGCACGCCGTCGCCGAGGAGCAGCGCCATTGGAGCGGCGGGTCGTTAGCCGCGCGTCATTACAGCCACAGAGCTGCGGCGAATATGTCGCCGCCGCGCCGATAGCGCCGCGGGACGCCGCCTGATTGGCTCATTAGGCCGCGCGGCGGTGACGCTTTATTGGACTGCGGTTAGCGTTCGAGTGCGCCTGCCCGCCGGTGGCTGCCGACTGCAAGTGGCCCCTGCAGCGCGGCGAGCCCCGCGGGGAGTCTCAGCGAACCCTGAGGACTGCTGAGGGCCACTTGGATTCTTAGAAACTAGCCCTGGATTCCGAAAACCCTACTAGAGTCCCTGACCCGATGTGGACTTCTGGATCCAACTGGACTCCCCATACCTCGCTGGACTAAATTAACACCGTTCAACTTTCCAAAATCCCTACTGGACTCTGAACCCCCCTGGACTCTATCTGCGCCCCGCTGGACGCAACGGACCCCGGACTCTCCTAGCCCTGCCGATCTCTGCAGCCCTGCCCGGTTCCGATCGACGCTCCCCCGTGTGTCAGAAGTGGGATGTGACCTGGCCGCTGCCCCCTGTCGCAGAGATAGGACAGGTCCCGCTGGCGGGCTGCGCCGGGGCGGGGAGCGCCCATCCCGCCGCCGCCAGCGTCGCACGTGCCGTATCGCCCGGCGGCATCTCAGTATCACAGCTGAAAACAATTACCCGCCAAATAGACGGTTGGGCGCTGGTGGCGGCGGCCCGACGCGAGCCGCCGCGTCCCGCTGGCGGCGGCGCGACATTGTCATTATCGAATACACAAAAGAGCTGGATAATTGACGTCGGGCGGTCCGCGGGAAGTGCATTTACATTTTCTTGCTGGTGGCGCTCGTCGCGGTGTGGTTTTTGTCGGGGCTGCCACGGACGGCGGCACATCGTGTCGCAATTAGAGGCGCCGTTCCCGGTCTGTGGTGACGCTATGCCCCCTATATCGCCGGCGGTGTCGTCACAGCGACCTTGGTCTGCGACCTGGCGACCGGCGCCGCCGCAAAGTCTGTCCCTTCAGGAAAGGCTGGTGGCATCGACAGAGCAGGGCAACAGCTCCCTGTTCGGCCACATCATTGGCCTTCGCCCTGGAATCCAAAATGAAACTTTGCTCAGACTATGCATGCCTAAAATCACTAGTCCACACTCCACACCAACTTTCTTGATTTTTAGGCCTGAACAGATCCTGAGCTTGTTGACACTTGCTGATGATTCCCTTTGGTTTCTTCAGCTGAGGTTATCTCTGATCTATGAGAACCGTAATGGTACTGGCTCCCCCCCCCCCAAAAAAAAAACTAGCGAACTATTGTCCCCGACCACAGCTCATCGAATCCCTCCTCAGATCAACCGCTTCTAACTTCTTCACGCACATCACAAAACTCGCCGCAGCAACCATTTCTTTGGATTGTATTTGAGCAAGAGACCCAACAGTAAATGCGAGTATGCATAGACGGATACCGCGAAATCACAACAATAATAGGTACTCAGTGATTTATGGAAACAATAATCAGCCGTCACCATTCGTTGAGCTGCGGCCCTAGGCTGCAGTTGAAACCCTCCGCGGCCGTAATGGCAGTGGATGCATGTGCCGAGAAGGTGGACAGAAGAATCAGAGTTCATAATTTCTGATACCCCTGGTGCAGCGATGGATAGACAATGCATTGCATAGTGCGCAATACGTTTGTACCATGTTCTCACACGGAACACACATAACCACCCCGACCAATCTAAGACATTCATTCCCGGATACACTCGTAACAAAGTGTAAATATAACCACCACATCTGAATCATCTGCACTTTGGTGTACAAACACGCTCGGCATCAGGCTCACCCAACCAGTCATGGAATCTCTAGTCTCAATCAGTCAAATCGCCCACTAAAAGCACCTCACAAAGTGCACCTAGAGGTTCCTAATCGGCCGCATCAGTCCGTCTTCTTGGCCTTTTTGCCGGCCTTCTTCTTGGCGGCGTTTTTACCAGCGGCTGGCTTTGCGCCGGCGGGCTGGGCGTTCCAGTAGTAGACAACCTGGGCGGCCAGCAGTCCGTTGACGAAGGACGTGGCTATGAAGGTGACGATGAGCGTGGTGTCGCCGGTCTCCTGGACCGACGTGAAGATGCGCGCCAGGGAGCCGAGGAACAGCAGCATCACCGTGATGGCAGAGAGCTGGCCCGTCGAGCCGGCGCGGTAGTTGGTTACCACCTGGATCAGCTGCCGGACAGATAGCAGATACACGTCAGATACACAAATAGATACATCAGACAGATACACATACAGATACACCAGACAGATGCACATAAGAGCAGCGGAGCAGGCAATCAGAGACAGGTCAGATCTGACGCAGTTAAATCAGACCAGGGACAGAAGAGGGCCAGTCATGGTCAGGACAAGTCAGGTGTGTGATGTAGTTACACTTCAGATCACATGCCTGCATCCCCATTTATACACACATCCCCACACTCTCATCCGAAGGACAAACGAGAATCTATTACAATGGGGGGGGAGGGGGGGGGGCATGCCATCCTCCCTCCACAAATAGCAGTCATCTGGTCAGTCGTGCAAACACGCCGTCCCCACCTCCTCCCATCGTCCGGGTGGTCGTCCGTGGACGCTCCCCGCACGCCGGACTCGCGCCTCGCTCGGCGGCCCCACTGCCCTATCATCTGCGCGCGCGAATCACCATAAACAAGGGCCTGATCGGCAGTGTCGGTGGCACCACCACCCCGCGCCGAGCTGATTTATATGTGAACGGGACGAATTAGGCAGTCGGACGGCATTCCAGCCGAGCGGCCAGTCCAGAGGACCCGGCCCGCAGTGTGTGGGTGGTAGGGGACTGGCGTCTGAACGAATTTTTCATCGTGAGGTCACGCTTCGTTGATGGGATGAATGCAAGTCGGATGAAGGTGGTTAGACGCACGAGGTACGAGGCGAGAAAAGGTACGATACAAGAAGAGTCAACCCGAGCACACACACGCACCTTGAGAAGATGGCTCATAACAATTTCACAAAATGTAAGCCAGAAGACAGCCAGGAAGCTTCTGCGTTCTCGAAGGACACCGCGGAGCGGTCTGTGGGTCGCTGACTCACTCCACTATTGGGAACGGCCTCGTCCCGGGTGTCGGAAACTGGAGACGTGGCGCGGCGACCCTTCACACAGGCCGGCGGAAGTGGCGGCCCGACCGCACCGTCACGGCCTCATCTCCACAGACTGCGACCACGGCTCCTTTACGTCCGCGGAAACCATAAACCTTGGCGCATCACCGACGTTATGTCCACAGCGCTGTCCCATGGATCATACAAAGACCGACCGTTGCAGGCCTATCCCTCACCGCCTTTCAGTCGCTCGCCAGTCACACCTCCCCTGACCCTCGGCCAGGTGCGCTCGGCGCGTTTCATCACCCTCCTCCTTTCTGGTTTTCAGGCCCGGCCGCAGGAACGCTCAGGCAGAGTGCAACTCACGGCGCACCATCCATCACCGCCCGCCCGTCACCGCGCCGGAGAGCCTTCTCCGAAGGGCGACCGGGCCTCTGATTGCTCGGTGTCGGCGCCACGGCCGGACAGCCCACGGCCGAGCGAGAAATAAACCCTGATCTGCGGCGAGAAATAAACCGGCCGCTCTGATCCACGGCGAGAAATAAACCAGCCGCTCTGATCTGCGGCTCGTTCTACAACCCAGTCCGGTCATGTAGGACAAGCCGTCCGATGGCTTCATTAAATAATAATTATACCCTCTATCTGATTGAACATCAACTCGAACGCGGATACACCGTAATTGCAATGAAGAAAGACATAAACAACGATCTACATGACTGAGCCGGACGTCTAGCGGCGATCTGCGAGATACCGGCGATGTAGCGCGGTTCGGCGGGGCGGTTTGGAATCCGTCCAGCTCACGGCAGTACAGCTGGCCTTCCCCAAGTGACCGTCAGCTCCCTCCCCTCCAACACTGACCGTCAGCTCCCTTTAACCCGACCCCCACCGTCCCAATCGCCGGAGCGCGGCGGCCGAGGAGCCGGACCACCCCTCCGTGCGCCGACCGCCCGATGCGGAGCAGATATGTATCGGCCCCGGACCGCTGCTGCGTGCCGCCGGACCTGACCACCGAGTTCCACCGGCGCCGCCGCCGCTGTCACCGATGGCGGTCCGTCATCCACAGTCACTACGCTACGGTTTGAAGAGAAGCAGAAGCTTCGGACGCTTTCCGTTTTTTTAGGTGTAACCCTTCTCAGCTGTGAGTCGCTTCCTTGACCCGTCCTACCAGCTGGCGTGACAAGACGCTTCTGAATTTGGTCACATTCCTTAAATTAACTCATCACAGAGACAAGCAGGGCCCCTCCCACCCCAGAGACAAAAACACCTCACCGTACTAAATTCAGCGCCTACATGACACGCAGCACTCCCAGGAATTTCACTGGCTCCCCGGGAGCGAGGTCCAAACGGGTGATGTCGGGTCTCCGTGGACCAGCTGTGTGGTATGGCCCGGCCCGCCCACCCAGGAGGCGGCGGTACTGCCCAGTCCACCTGTCGATGGGGCGTCGGAGGCACGCCTGGCCCGCGCTGCCCCCCGTCTCGACACGCCGATACCATCTCGGGCCACCGCCGCCGCCACACGACAGGACATGACCACGCGCGCCCGGGCGGTGGCGGCGGTGGCGGGGGCGGCCGATCGGTGCCGCCGATACGAACGGCGTTACAAATCGCCAGCACGACGGCGACTTTGTCAAAATAGTCGGACATTTGTTTTCGGACGCTCGACCCTGGGCAACCTTTGAACCGCGGCGAGGCGAGATTATCACCACCGCGACTCGCACGCTCAGTGAACGAGGCGTTACGCGATCGGAGTGTGCAGAACACGAGCAAACGGACCACACACACCGGCCCACGAGTGGCCGAGTTAGGGTCGAGTAAGAGATCACACAGTTATGCGGAGGGAACCAGGAGGGTTGTCACGGCCCAGAGGGAGTCGTTTGACAGTGACATCTCTAATAACAGGTGAAATATGGAACCCAGAGTAAAAGTGGGACGGAGGAGCAATGGGAAGCATGTGAGGATAGCAAAAGGGCGCAGAGGTCAAAAAGGTCAAGGGCACTAAGAGTGTCAATCGGCATCAACCGAGCACTCCTTTCATTGAATAAAGGAGCGGCGGTAAATGAATGTCACTCAATGGAAAAAAGTGAATGCAATGTCAGCGACTCACCCATTCTCCATTAATATCAGTCACACAAACTCATGGCGTCACGTCAAAAACGATTCCGACCCTAAAACTGCTTAAGAGTGAAACTGTGTAGGTAAAACTCCGAGTGAGAATCCCGCGCAAAAGTGAGTGAGTGAGTGAGTGAGTGAGTGAGTGAGTAAGACCTCACACTCTGAGTTCGTCCGGCGCTGAGAGGAGGTGTGAGGAGATCCCGGGGCGCCGAGAGGTCACGGGGAGCGCTGAGCGTCAGCGGCGCGCTGCCGGGCCGGGTCGAGCCGAGGCGGCGCCGGCAGAAGTGCTGACTCAGACGCCGCGCCGGCCCGCCTCCAGTCGATCCCCGCCGGGAAGCAGCACCGCGCTAATGGCGCCGCGATGATGTGAGACAACATGATTAATCGTCGCAGCAACCAGGCGATGGCCAATTTGACGATAATTTAAGGTGTTAATGATTGTGCCGCCTCGGATTGCCGCCCGAGCAATATCCATGCAAAGCGATTCATCACCGAGTGACGTCCTATCATTGGTAGTGCTCGCCGGCGCGACTCGGCGGGGACGTGTGCCGTTTGCCAAGCGAGCCGAGTCGAGGAGAGTCAATGCCGACTGTCGAGCCGAGCCGAGTCGAGCCCGAGTCGAATCGAGGCAAGTGGAGCCAGAGCGCGGAAAGTAAACCACAAAAATCCCGAGTGGGCCGAGGCGGGCCGACCCGGGCCGAGTGCCACTGGCGGGCCTGAATGAGAGCTCGACCTCTCTTTCGGAGATAGGCGTCCAGTAGCTGTAGCTGCGGCGCGGTGGAGGAGGCCGCCAGGTCGCCGCCGCCGACGGGGCACGGTCCGGGCCGCCGAGGTCGCTGTCCGGACCGCGCGGGACCGAGTGGACCACCGGGCGACGACACCGGACCACCCGGCCGCGCCGCCGCCGACGAGATTTTAATAACAAGTTACCGGACCGACGGCGACGGGCGGCGAACAAAAGCGGTCCGCGCACACGGGCCGCGCAGCGCTCCCACGACGGCGCACATTTCTCAGCGACGCCTTTGTCCGGGATTCATCTGCGGCCGGCCCGACCGCCATACGTTCCCATCACTAACTGATCACGTCATTCGCGTCAGCGGCTCAAAGAGCGACCCGCGCGGTAAAATGTATTAAATCGATTTGCCGGTCGGCCGGCCTGCCTGAGACGGCAGTTCGGTAACGTTATATACCGCCGCGGCGGCGGGACGCTATGTGAGGGCGCTCCAGCCCCAGCCGGCTGACCCGGCGGCCGGTGCAACAAAAGAGGGAGGCGCCGCGTCCGGCCGGCACCGCCCCCGGTCAGGGGTCATCCCGCACGTGCATAACCTCTGACACGCGCATTGCGGCGTCTGTGGCGGCCAAAAACAAAGCTGGCGCGCCGCTGCCGACCACAATAGGGGGATCGATCTCCCAACCTTACTGCCCATGATTATAACGTCCGGCGTGCAACATAAATTTAACCACGCCGATGACAAATTCTCTGCCGTCACGAGCGCGCCCGGACCGTCTGGGTAAACAGGAGGATTCTGACGCGCTCCTAGGCGCCACGTCGGCCACCAAATGTGATCCGACACGAACATTTGTCGAGCGCATGGACTAGACAGCTACCATGATAAAACGCATCCGTCTTCGCGCGGCCCGACAGGCTACGCCGCCGGCCCGAATTAAGCCGTCAAAGGCAATGGGAACGTTTAAAAATCGCCGCCGCTACCGATGGCGCAGAGTGATAGAGGACTCGGCGTCACATCCGCGCTGCCGGGACTAACCAGCACCGCCAGTGAAACCGCATATTACCGACTATAGACGGCCCATCGCTAACTGCGCCCGATAGTCGAGCTGGGCAGCTAAACAGGTGAGTTAATTCACCCACCGCACGCTTACTGACACCAGCCGTAACGGCGTAATGCGATTTTAATGGCAGAGCTGGCCGCACATTCATAGACGCGACGCGACGTCTTCATCAAGCCAATGATTGCTGACATGGTCGGGTTAATGGATTCTGAACA